ACACTCTGAGCCGCATGAGGCTGAAGACCTCCTATGGATGACTGAGAAGGAAGGGTTACGGGTTGCACACTGGAGAAGGAAGTGTGTGTGGCCAAAGTACTGCCTGCATGCTGCTGGCTGCTGTAGCTCTGATGCAGAACCTGCGGCAGTAGCGAAGAGTGAGACCCATCCGCCATGGACCCCAAACCGGGACCAGAGTGAGTAGCCGGGGACACTGTGGACCCCACTGAAGGTCCAAGCCCGCTGTCCCTCTCTGCAGCAGGGTCCAGGGTTACACTGCCGTGTCTTATGCTGTCAGTCCCCGAGTCCTTCTCATAGAACTCTGTACACATCCACCTGCCTCTCCGGAACGGTTCTCCGGTACCATGATCCAGTTTGATGACCCTGAAGCGTGATGAGCAGCTCACCGTGGAGGTGGCAGAGCTGGACCCTGCAGCAGGCTGGGAGGTGTTGGCTGACACGCTGGGGCTGGCTATAGCTGGCAGCTGATGCTGGACCCCTCCAGACGGAGTCATGAGGGGTAACCCAGGTGTCGGGGTAATCCCCAGCTGGTTCTGACCGCCATGAACCGAACCGGAGCCTGCAACCTTCCTCAGTTCGGTTGTGTTACCTCCCGGCCCAGGCGGCGGAGTGGCCTGAGGTGCGTTTGCTGGCGCCTCCGCCTCTCCGACGTTATTCAGAGCTTCGTCGGAGGAACTCCTCTCGCACGCGGGCTCGTACTCAGCTCGCGACACGTCGTATATTTCCGACGACATGTCCTCAGTTCGCGACTCGTCCGGGTCGTCTAGACTCTCGGTGTCGTCGGCGGCCCCCACGGCCGCCACCTGGGCCTGAGTCACGCTTGTGATCTGAAAGCAGCTCTTCTTCTTGGCCGGCATCTTCGACATGTTGGCCAGTCGGATTCAGGGTCCCGTATGGCTGTGTGTTTTTTTTGTTTGTTTGTTTGTTTTTTTTGTTTTTTTGCTCCTCCCTTCAAAAAGAAGCGAGCTGGTGGAAGCTTTCTGTCTTATTTCCAACACTCGGGTCTGGTTTTCCTCTTCCTATTTAGCTGTAATCAAGATGAATCTGCGCCATCCTCTTCCTCTCTCGGTCTCCTGTTGCGTTTCATGAAGCTGAACGCCACACTCCGCGTCTCCTTGTCCAGCAGTAGGGGTCCTGACACCGCCGAAAGCTGCTTGGATGACGACTGGTACAGAATTTAAAGTCAGCCCGGACCGGCCTGCTACTTCCCCGGCTGTCCACTCGTCGGCCGGCCGTTGTCGCAGAGTGTTCCCAGCTGCAGGAGCTACTTTGAGCTAAGGAGGCCCCGCAGCCCTTCACTCACTGAGCTAGCTAACAATTCAAGCCAAGTGGCTGCCGCCGCACACTCCCCCTCTACGTCGGTACAAGTATACGAGACATCTTCACGAAAGCGTACCTACGTCTCAGCTACTTCCCTGGCGTCAAGACGTCCGTCGAGAACACTTTACTTTGTTACTATCTATAGTGGAAGAGCGAACAGACCTCAAAACGTTCCGCTTGAAACAAGTGATAATCTTAACAGCGCCGACAGCTCCCTCCCTCTCTCCTGACAAGATGGCTATGTTGTGTGGAACCGCGCTGCATCGTGGGTAAGCAGCGAGCGCAGCGCAGGAGTGTTTACGTACGGCCAGTTTGTGAATCACTCCTCCTGCTGCTTTCAAGAACCGTCGGAAAAACTGCTATTATCGAATGACTAATCACCTTAGTGTGTTAACAAGCAGTGAATATGACTGAGGTAATCTCAAGTACTTACTTTACTTTACTTTACTTTACTTTACTTTACTTTAAATATATTTTTACATGTACTAATCATTTAAAGCATTTATAGATCTATTATTATAACTATCTAATGCATAAAGACATTAGCATAAAATATGTGAACGTTTTCCTGTGCAGTGATACGCAGGGGTATTCACAACCCAGAACTTTTTCACATTCTGCCACAAACATAATTATACCGTATTCATATTTTATTTAATAGACCCACACAACATGCGGCACATCATTTTCTTTTTTGTTTTTTTTTTTTACAGATGTACATTTGAAATTAGATATTTACATATATATATAATAAGACATACTTTATTTTCTTACTGTGTGAGTTCAAGTTAAAGTTAAATCGGACCCTACTTCTCTTACTTTAGGTTAGTTAGAATTACCAAAATTATTTCTATTTGCTAAATGCCAGAAAACTTAGAACTTTTTTTAATGTTCTTGTTTACACACATTTGATCAGTATCAGGAATAATTGTCTTCTAAGCTGTATGATCTGGGTCAAACCTTTTTTGATTTTCTTCCACAAACTTAATAGATATTTCAGTTAATTGGAGGCAAACCTGTGGATGTAATTTAAGGCCACACCCAGAAGACACCAAGTTTCTGGCATTTAGCAAATTTTTGCAAGTCTAACTAAGCTAAAACAGGAGGTTTGGGTTGTCTTCAGACAGTGAGAAAAATGAGTATGTCTTTTTATTTGGTGTATCTAAATATTTGGGTTCAACTTAAAATCTGAAAAGTGTGGTGTGCACTTTTATGGTGCCATTACCTTATAAGTCCGAACTCGGAGCTGGGAATTATGTTACATCTGAGTTAACAGTGTTCTAGTTAGAATAGTCGGAGAAGTTGAGATTCCAATTTGGCGACACCCAAGTAGCCGTTGTTCATTCGTAATACCTCTTACAACCACCGTTTTAAGGTTTACTTTCCATAAGCAAACACCACTTCTAATTTGTTCAGTTTAGAGTTGCAGGTACTGCATGCAACACTGATTTTAGATGCAGTCTGACTTGTGTGTCTTAAAAAATAAGCATGTTTTTCACAGCAGTTTAATACAAAAACTGACATTTGTACAAACATTAAAAAACGTTAATATCTTAACCTCTTGAAATAGGTTTTCTTGACTACGTATACTTTGTTTTTACTGAATTTTCGAGTTTTAGGTATGAAATTGTATCAATGTTTGTATCTTGTGTTTGTATTTTTGGACTACGGATGGAAATGATCATTTTGCTAAATCTGGTTTATTTTTTGCAACATTAATATGTGCTGTCAGTACTATTGTTGATTCAAGGAACTTCCATATTAGATCCCAAAGTCGGCGTTGGATAAATTCAGACATCCCAAGTGGGAAATCTGACTCTGAAACTTATTAAATAGATTTTTTGTTAAGACAAATGAAAGCTAGATTCCTTCCAAAATGCATGAAGATCTGTGGGCTAGGGGATATTAATACTTTTTCGAGGTACAGTGCATTCATGAATGGATTTTATTTAGAAAATGTAACTAACTGCACCAGAGGTTACCTGAAGGCATCGACTCTGGCTCTGTAGTTCTATACACTGCAGTGTTAGTGCCAGTGGTGTTTATCACCAGAACATCTCCAAAGAAGCTCACTGCAGCAGCCTCATAAAAACTAAGGGGTGGGTTTTTAAAGGGGCGCTGCCTTGTGCAGGTTTATTATTCTAATCCCTTTATTTGCATTCAGTCTGTGCATTTCACGAGAGCCTGTGTAACAGCTAATATGGTCAGTGTGGAGGATTCAGTCTCACAGGCTTTACACAGGGGTCCTGACATTCTGTCCTGTGTTAGGAGCGCAGTTCCTGATGAGAATGTTTGCTCAGCCATATACAATCCCTGGGGGGAAAGTATGGAATCAGTACTCTTAAAAGATGTTCAGTTAAGTTTGTTTTGTAGTAAAATATAAATGAATCACAGAAATTGCTGGTATATGTTTTTATGTCTTTTGGCTAGATCAAGCAGAAGGAACAATTCTGGGATGAATCAGTGTTAAGGTAAGAAAAAATGATGGGAGTACTTGGTTTATTCAATGAGGGTTCGATTAAGAAAAGAAGTTCACTTGTGATATTTGCAGGACAGGCATCTCATCAGTTTGTACCATCAGTTTTCAGCCGGATTGAGATCCAAGCTGTTGTTGATCTGCCTTCGCTGAGGAGGAGTTTTAACACACTTTTCTTCACTTGAAAGTTGCATCATCATCATTCTGAAGAAATGAAATGCTCATTACCAAACCCTGCATTCAGTTCATGGTTGTATCGCTGAATCCAACTTTCAACCAGTCATCCACAGCCCAAGTCTGCTTCTCTTTAAGCAACAGGAACTTTTTTTTTCTTTCCTATTTTGATCTAAATTATGGTTTTAGTTAGTCTTTTCTGTGTACAACTACTTTGGCTGGTTTCTCACAGTTATCTCAAATGTTTCCCTTCATTTGTCAGACATTTATCTTGTGCGGTTTTTTTTACATAAAAAAAGGTAAATAGAGCGAGTGTTTGGTCGAGTGTTTCATTGCTGCCACAATGCCTCTTGGCAATCCGGTTAATTTCCCATAAAGTGGCACCATGTTTGTAATGTAAAATTCCCCTTTGAGATCAACAAAGTATCATAGAATTTGAATTGAATTGTGAGGGAAATGCATTTGTGCGAGCTCAGCTTTGAGTAGCACAGTCGAAAATGAGACAACAGTCTGGTATTTCCTCCCTGCACTGGTCACCAGCTTGGTCTCACATTGCTGTGCAGGATATATACTGAAATACTGAAAAGCTATATGTAAGGAAACAAGGAGGTAGAAAAAATCCTTTAAAATGATTTTGTAAAACTAACATGGAAAAAAAGTCAATTAAATTCAAACCACAGGAAGAAAAAAAAATTGGCCACTGTCTGTTGGGAGACCTTTTGTTAAAAAAAAAAAAAAAAGAAGAAGAAGACGAAGAAGAAAACTGTAGCAAGTGTGATATAGGGGATTTAAAAGAGCTCTCAAAAGACTAAACCCATATTTTGCTGTACAGAAAATAATCTACAGATGGGGGACATTTAAAACGACTGCCAACGTGTTTACCCTGAAGGAAGGCTAGGAGGAGTAGGAGTAAAGTTTAATGGAAAAATAGGAGCATGACCAGAACGTCTAGAATAATGTTATTTCAAAAGGTGTAACTAAAACCGAATTATTTAGACAGATGGATAGGTTTCTGTCCATTTTTGAGCCAGCACTCCCTCTGCTGGCCAAAGAGGGTATTTGCCTTTTATTCTTTTTCTGGTGTTTTTCGTTGTGTTCCTTTCCAAGTAAAACGAATAAGAACAACTTTAAGACAGTGGTGAGTAAACTCCCTTGACGTCTGCCTCCAAACATCCACCCATCCTCCTCTGATGTTCCTCTGTAGGTCAGCTGTAACTACTACCTTCTTCTTTTCTCTCAATCAAAATTTCTTGCTGTTTGGTCAGAAGATTTACACGGCCTTGTAAATGGATTTATGCCACTTTTTTCCACATTATACCCTAAAAGTTTTATTTATTTTATTTGATTTTTATGTAATGGACCAGTGCAAACTAACAAGAAACTTTTTGAACAATAATAAACTGATGCGTATTAACTAACCCAACTTTATTCAGGGAATTCAATACAGTGCCTTGTAGCATAGAGCTGGCCTGGCTATTGCCTACGCTATTCAGCTTCTAATCTCACGTCACCGCTGAGTCTAGGCTTTCACTCATTAAGCTTGATTCCTTCCATAGTATTTGAACTGGGTCAATCGGTGAACAGAAGGAGAAGTTGTGAATGATGTCAATGATTTTCTGTACTGTTTCAGAGTTGTAGTCTGCCTGTAGTTTTAGCGATGACAGCAGAGGAAGTGGATAAAGCCATCTAGTACATGCTGACTACGATTTCAAATATTGAATTAACATTAAGAGTCATCTTCGGTCTTCACTTTTCAGTTCACAGTGGGTGGGAGATGGTTACTTACAGTCTCAGCAATTTCCGGTAAGCTTTATAGCATCAAACTCGTGCATTATAATGAGCAAACATTTGAGACTTGGGTAAAATTTAAAACCCCAGCAGAATCCACACCTCCAGAAAACAATTGATTTTCAATAGTCCACAATTGAGATCCTCTGAACAAAGCAAAGTATAGAACAAGGGGCTGGTTTTTACCAGGCTAATAACCTAATCTCCCTTCTCTCAGTAGCTAGCTTTTAGTGGGACAACTCCCCATGCAAAACAAAAGTAATTTATGTCAGAATCTATTTTTGTGCGTTTTTGTGGGTGTATAATTTTACCTGAACAGAGGATCCTTGTTGGTTTTCCACCTGCTGCTGGCTACATACCTGACGGCAATCAGTGTTTTGTTTGGCTTTGGTTTTTAGTGAGCTGGCTGCCATTCGGTGCCTGACGCTTAACCGTCACTGGTAGAGTTAAGCCAACTCCTGAGTGTAACTTCCTGAGAGTTTCTTGGTTTTTTCAATGCTTTCTTTGTTTCTTGCCTACTACTCACCCTGGGCACCTCACAGGTTGGACTCTGGTGGTTCTCACTGCTTATTCTGGACCTCCCATCTCTGTGTTTCATGATCGTCTTCCTCCGTGTGATTGCCTTCAGCCGTCACCGGTCTGCTCTCCAACTTACCCTGCTCAGAAAAACAAATAATCGCAAGTTTCAACCTGCACAGAAACGTACCTCCACAGATCCTATTTCCCTCTCCATGTTGAAACTTCTTTGAATCGTAAGCTCAAACCTGCCATTGAATAATCTGCATCATGCTGCTCGTCAACTGCTAGTCACTCTTCTCTTTCTCTCCAGACCTTCCTGAGAAAGCCAGAGAACCAGACTCACTATTTTGCAGATTTTGACCATGTTCTTTAAATAAACCTTTTACCTATTTCAGAACTGCCTCTGGTGCCGCATGCGGGTCAGAAAAATAGCTGAAATCACAACAATTAAGGGGAACAATAATTTATTTCCTTGTGCTTGTACAACATGCTTTCTAATTGCCAACCTGGGCAACTACCCAAATGGCCCATGTCAACTATTACTGGTTGGGTGTCTTGTTGCTGGGAAAAAAAATATCTCTTTTTAACATTTTAGCTTCAAATTTGATCCTAGCAGGGGTTGCATGAGAGCCTCTCAACAACACTAAACTTTTGCAGTTGTGTCTGGAAGTGCCACAACTGCATCTCAATTAGATAAAATAATTGAGCCTCTCAGGGCTGCACTAGCCTGGGTCTGTAATAACTGGTCCCAGTGGCTTCTGACCCATAAATGGTAGACTGGATTGAATTCGCTTGGATTTGTGTGTTCTGACCAGACTGCCCAAAAGCAGTCACACGACTCTGTTCCACTGTCAGTTGAGGAGTAAGTAGAGAAACATCTGTATGTGGTGCTGTTTTTACAGCACCACATACAGATGTTTTTAAAGATGTCTTAAAAGTTTGTTGGCACAAAGTGTGAGCCCATGCAGACATAAACAAACACTCTTGTTCTTTGTTGCAGACCAGCGACACAAACAATGAGAAATTATGAGTAAAAGAAGTTGGTGAAATATGTGTCGAAATAATTGCCTTTGTGTTGGAGGGGTTGTATGTGGACAAACTTGTCAACTGGAATTGCACAGTTGTTAGTGGTGAGGATGGTGGAAGGCCTGCAAACCACAGCACCCAAGGGCATCAAAGGACAGCTGTACTCAACTCCAGAAGGCCACAACAGCCCCAGACAGATACCAGGCACCGCCCCAGGTCAGCCATACAACATAAATGGAGGTAGGTCATCAACAAAGCAAAAGAGCAGCAGCCCCCAAGGGAAAGAGGCACAGGGAGAGATGCAGAGCACCAGTCTTCCCTGACCCTGCCACATCTTCATCAACCCTGTAACCCAGACTCCTCTGTACCCCAGTGCTCCCCCCAACACCTGAAAGCAAGACCACTCAGCACCAAGCAGGGGAGACTGCACCCCCCGCCAAAGCACCCAACACATCTGGCAGCCAAAACTCAAAAAGTGGGTATGCAGCACATGCAAATCATAGGGGCGCTGCACCAGAGGGGGCGTCAAAACCCCATCTGGAGGGGGCGGCACCCCGATGATGCCTTCGCATACACTTCACCGCGCCCTTTCGCTCCTTCACCTCGCGCACTGTGCAATGTAGTGAGTTTTACCTTTCACGTGTCTTCGTCTGGGGGTGGGGGAGATTTATGTTTTCGCATCCACCTGAATAATATGTAGTTGCGCCCCTGCTCAGAAGGACCAGGGCAGGCATCACAACACCTGATGAGCTAAAGCCAGGAGGGGGTCAGGAGGGATGGACGCCCACAAGAGCCCCGCGCAACCTCTGTGGCCCAAGGTTTTTCAGTTGTATTTTGTACAGCTGCTGCAAGACGTTTGAGCTGAATTAGAAAAAAAAAATTTTTTTGGCAACTATGAACTACGTGGACGCAGTTTGTGAAGATAGATTCCAGGATCAATAATTTTTAACTGTGCTGTTTTAAAAATTGTTTGGTTTGGTTTGGTTGATGCAATCCATTGAGGTCATTTTAAAGCTCCAACTATTGTTCCTGCAGAACTGCTGCATGACTTTGAAAATGTTAAAAGGGACCAAATTAAGGAAACAAATACATCAGTAATCATTAAGAAAAAGGTAAATACGCTTTGAGCCTCACTGTAACCTGCCTGGGCAGACAGCAGCTTTGAGCCACAGTCCTGCAGTAAAAAAAAACATGACTGTCAGGTTAACCGGTTATGTCTCAGTGTGTGTGACTGGTTGTTTGTCTTATTTGTCTCTGTTTTGCCCCAAATCTTCCCATATAGCTGCTATTTAACATTTGAATCAAAATGTAATTCTCTTTAGGCAAAACATGAGTGCAAATATGGCTATATAAACTTAATTTGGACTTCCACAAAAAAAATAGAGAAACAGAAACACACAACAAGGTATGTAAATTGTGGAAAAATTTGTTTGGACAAAATCGTAGGCTTGCACATACAGAATGAAAAACCTTTGAGAAAATAAGTGTTTGTACAGGTAGTACAATGTAAGAGGATAGCCCCTGATAAAATCAGGGGCTATCCATCAGTCATATATATTTTAACAGTAGACAGTTAGTTGGATAATTTAGAATTAAACAATCAATTTCCAAAGGGATTATGACACATCCCCAGTTTTTGAAAAATAATACATTAAGACTCCATTTTGTATCAGAGAAGTCAGATACAAAACAACCATGAGTACAAATGAAAGAACTAGCGAAGGGGCGATATGCTTACACAAAATGGGACAAAATAGTTTGAATACTGGTAAAAAAAAAAATGAGAAGAAGTGACTATTGTCATAGTCACTTCTTCTCACTTTCTTCACTATTGAAGAATAGTGAAGAAAGTGACTCGATTCAAGCGATTAGGCAAAAACGAATCGCTTGAATCCCTTACCTCTAATGATGTCACCAAGGAAAATACACACAAAGTAGAGTTTGCAGTTTTTTCCCTTCAGCGTAATTTGTTTCTAATAAAAATAATAATAATTCTAGGAAATCCAGCAGTGAAAATGTAAATTAAATTTCTGAGCTATATATTTTTCATTGTCAGTCGAAATTTTCTAGTTATCAAACACACCACTGGATGGCAATTTTAACAAAAAAAAAAGTGGGTAACAATTTTAAAATCTCGACTTTAGTTGTCTGCATGCACTAGTACCTTACACAGCACAACGTCTGGCTAGACAATCTTTGTCACCTTATTATACAGCGTGAAAATACTGCTTTATAATAGAATAATGAAACTGAATAAAATGAGCACATGTGCATCCGCCTCTGACCCACAGCACTGACTCTTGGCTGAGCTGATAAGTCCCTCTTTATTCCACCGCGTGCTGCCATAAAACGCCAGGGAGCTCATTGTGCGGAGTGATCTGATACGGACTACACCCAGCCGCCGCCTCACTGCCCTGGCTTTCTTTGCTGCCCCAGCCTTCGCGTTGGTCAACGTCGAAGTGTGGGTTAGATTGGAGACTCTAAATTAGCCTGGAGATATCTTTCACCTTCCCGACTCTGAATCTTTTTTGGTAACATTACCCGCGAAGCTATAGTCTTTTTTATATATATAAATTTATAGCGTCAATTTCTTGAATATGTCTTGGCAAAGCTACGTGGAAAACCTGATGGCCGATGGCAGCTGTCAGGATAGCGCCATTGTTGGGTATACAGACGCCAAATATGTTTGGGCAGCGCATGCCGGTGGTACATTCAACAATATCACGGTAAGTAATAAAAAAAAGATTAAAAAAAAAAATTGGAGAGAACCGGTGCTGCTAGTTGCCATTACTGGCGCGCGCTTCCCCACGCGGACGCTCAGTTGCGCTAAAACCGTTATCTCGCAGGCTTTAACTGAACAGAGCTAATGGTACGGAGCTAGCCCACTGTGCTAACTAGCTTATCTGCAGGTGGCCTGCGTTGGATATTAGACATGCTAGGGAAAAATTGCTATGTTAAATCTTCTGTGACAAGACTTCAGTTATTATAACAGGGTGCGGACCTTAAATTGTTTGCTGCTTGATAGCGTTTTAACAGATTTTGGAGCTCCAGCAGTGAACGTGAGGCTAATTTAAAAGCAGCTAGCAGACGGTGTCTGGCAGCAGAACGTGCATGCTTTTGTGCGCGCAGCTGCTTCGATTAGCTGAAGTTAAGCTGCTACTTTACCGGCTACCTGTGGTTCAAAAAGGCTAACTCAGGCTAATGTCTGGCTAGTAAAGCGCAGACGGTACACGCCTTTATGTTCAGTCAGACTACCCACCTGTTTGCATTGTAAGCTAAAAAGGAAACGAACCTTTTCGTTTTATGTAATGATCTTGGTGCATAGCGACACAGTACATCACTCGATGAAAAAAAAAAAATATATATATATATACTAATCAATCTTTCAAATATGTAAGGATTAGAGAATCTCATTTTAACAAATAGTGCTTGTGCTGCATCTACAGGTATTGCATGTAGCAATGCATGACTCCAACAAAATCAATGTGCAAAATTAAAACTGCATCTATTTCAGAGATGCACCTTTAAGGCAGCCAGACCCACCCCCAATACATTAAATGGATTTGAACTAAATGCTTCCAAACCGCTTGCCTAAACATTTAAACAATAGCTTGTGTTTTGATGCACCTCCGAGCCTTTGACATAAATGGCAATAATTTAGTAACTTTCTGTATCAAGTAAAACGGCTACCTTTATCAAAGAAGCTGCAGCACATTTTTTCTTAAGTTAAAAATAAAACGCATCTTAATCCAATTGTTTTTTTTTTTGTGTATGTATTTTGTCTTTCAGTCTCAGGAAATTGATGTCCTTGTCGGAAAGGACAGGGAGTCGTTTTACACAAATGGTCTCACTCTGGGCTCAAAGAAGTGTTCCGTCCTTAGAGACAGCCTCCAGGATGATGGCGACTGGACGATGGACATCCGGACAAAGAGCCAGGGAGGAGAACCTACATATAACATTTCTGTAGGCAGAGCTGGAAAAGGTAAAATTAAACTTGTATGTGGTGGGGTTCCAGAAATTGGGATTTATTTTATTTTATTTTTTAACTTAAATACTTAAGAAAACCACAAGTAATAACATCCCAAAATGTTTTATTAATATAATGGGGACAGTATATACAACAAAGTAAATGTGCCTTAGTCACCAAAAAGCTAATTTTGTGATATTTGTGAGCATCTCGCATGAGGATTAAAACATTTTTCTTTTAATGTAACCATTTAAAACACTTCATTTTGAATTCTTAATTAACCTCATTGTCAAGATTTCTTGTTGCATCTAATTAGCCCTCAGACACAACAGCAGTAGTTCTTGTTAAATGGCATAGTTGAGGGGGAAAAACTTTTTAAAGTCTGGTTCTTTGAGGATAGCCAGGAGTTAATATCTGATGTGGAGCTTACCTTTTAACTTCAGGTTAGATGGAGGTTAAGGAACAGGGCACTTTTAAATGACTTCAGTCTTGGAAAAACATCATAGCCCTTTATTCTTTGCATACAAACTAGTGTTTTTGTTTTGGGTTTTTTTTTTTTACATAGAGGACTCTGTAGGCTGTGGTCTGCAACAATGACCCTTCCTGTCCGTCTTTAATAAAACTAACCTAAAATGTTCTGATGGCAAACAAACATGACAGGGGTTGTCACCGTTTGACATTTCTGGTCCTGGACTTGTCTGCACCTGGACAGTCCAACCATCTTAATCCAGACTGAAGTCCAATAAAGGGATGCTTCAGAAATTTTGAAGCAAGATTTTGTTGCATAAGCAGTTTGTATCCTGTCTGTAGAAGATGACCTTCACAGCCTTCATTTAGTATAAAGCTTTATTTCGAAGGGTTTTCCTTAAATTGGATTGTTTGAAGAAGTAACTAACAAGTATCCTGACTCCTTTTAGTATTTTCAGGTTTGTCATAATCAGAGTTTAGGAACTAATTACTTATGTTCAACAAATTAATCAAGTCTGAGCCAAATTTAAAAATTCTTCAAAAAAAAAAAGTTTCATTATTTCCACATTCAAATTGGGAGGAGGATAGGATGTTGAAAGGATATTTAAATAATGACTTGGTCTGGCTTGTGTTTTAGATGTATTTAGATAAGCTAAAAGCCTTGAAAGGCTTAATTTACATGAAGGCAAAGCAGAATTGATTTTAAAATGGCTGCAAACTTTCTTGCAGTATGATGAGAAGTCTTGGTTAGCAGATAAATTTGCCACATGAGTTTGCCTCTAGTTAGCAGAATTGGAAAGAAACTGTTTTAGCTTTCCAACTTTTTTTTCCTTTCTCCTGACTCTTGTGCATGATTTGTTAAATGAGCATTAATTAAATGTTGCACCTCCTGGGATATTGCATGCATTGTGTGTCATCACTTTGTGGTTTATTCAAACATAATTTCTTACTATGAGGCAGTACAAATAAGTCCTGTAGTTGCTTTTAACTTGGGTAAATTTAGAAGTCATTGGGTCTTCTACAATGTAATATACAAGATTCTTAATTTCAATTTGCATTTTTACAGTAAATGGGAATGCAGCATGATCACTGTAGCTGTTTTAAGATGTTACAGGAATCTATAAATTCCAAGTGGTGCACATTTATATTTCTTATCTAAAAAACGTTTTTGTTACCTTTTTTTTCCTTTTTTACTTTTCTTAACTATCCTTTCTTTCCTTTCCATCTTTTCTCTTTCAGTTTTGGTTCTTGTAATGGGCAAAGAAGGGGTCCATGGAGGCGGCTTGAATAAGAAGGCTTACTCAATGGCAAAATACTTGAGGGATTCGGGCTTTTAATGCTTTCAAGCTCACATAGATCCAAGTTGAGGGACAAAAAGAAGAGAAAAAAAATATTGCTGTTAAGATTTCTCCTGCAAGCAGTCAAATGTTTTGGAAACATTTAATAGCAGTGAAGAGTGATAAGATACTGTGTCACCTTTGTTCTCACCCCTTCATCCTGTATGGGGAGGGGGCGGGGCTCTTCTGTTTTGTTCATTTGTCTATTTTTTTTTTATTTATATTTTTTTCCCCTTTGTGCTCCAGTATTGGTTTTAGTCATGGGAAAGGAGGCGGTCCATGGTGGAAATCTTAACAAGAAAGCACATGCAATGGCTGAGTACCTGAGGAAGTCTGGATACTAAGCAACCTCGCCACCCCATTGGTCAACTTAGCAGCTCACTCCCACTCACCGTATTGTTGACACTACTTCCAGGATTTAGGTGGCAAACAGTGTTACTTCCTACCCAGTCTCCTTTTATACACAGTCTTTTGTTGGCTAAACTCCCTCATCCACTTATTATTTTTTTTTTATTATTTTTTAAAAATTTTTGCCCTCCCTTTATCATTGTTTATCATGATTTTGACACTACAGTTATGGCATGTTTATTGAGATTATCAACCAAACATGTTTTTTTTTTTTTTTTTTTAAAGAAAGCTAAAGTGCATACTTAAATAAAAGTGTAAAAAATAAATTTGGACTCTTAATGTAAACTGACTTGTTTTCTCTGTACACATCAATATACATATACCTTTTTGTTAAGCATTGTTAAAAAGATACATCTAAAAAATGTTTTCCAATATTCAGCATGTAGGCATTATGAAAGTTGCATGTATGCGCTTTATCACAGCAAACCCAGCCCTGTTCCCCCATGTCCTTCCACAGCGTTTCAGCCAAACCATCTGACATATGCCTTTCTCTTAATGTCCTATTGTTTTTTTTGTTTGGGTTTTTTTTAAAAGACAGATTTCCCCTAATTGGCCACCTTTTGTTTCTTTTCTCTTACCGTCCATTACCTGATTTTTGTTTTGCTATTGTACCTGAATGTGGTCTTAAAGTAACTGATGTGGCGTTGGGCTGTTTTTTGAGTGTAACGTAAGGTTATCATTACACCGATTCATCATTTTTGATCCCATCTTGGAGTCTCAGTGGACGTTTCATCTCTTGGCAGTTGAGATTGGGCCTGTCCTCTCCTGCCATTTGTACATTTTTGCTGTAAAAATAAAAACACTACACCTTTGTGAGCTCGCCCTCCCATGTGGACCAACTTCCATAAGAGAGGTACTTTAGCTTATTCTTGGAGGCAATTGATGGCTGCCTGGAAACCACCGAGATGACTTCAGATGTCTGTAAAACATGTAACCGCTTCTTTAGACTTCAACACTAAAATGTTTCCTCACTAACTGACTTCTTGCTAACTTTAATGTGCATTGATTACTACAAAGGCAATGTCATTTTTACTACAATGTGAATGCATTTAGACTGTACACCGAGGCTGCTGGGCTCCAACACCTTGGGATTGTTTTTTGCCTTGTGCTTTAGTCATCAAAGTGTATTCACAACTTGTCATAGTATGGTACCTAGAAATATATTAAAAACAATGCTGTGTACACTAAACATTGAAAATGATGTTGGTTGGAATAAGAACATTTGTAAGTTGTCTTGTGGTTACTTTTTTTTTCCTGAAAAAATAACTGTATTCTGTGCCATAAAATTCAATTTCTGATCTGATACTAATACGAGTTGGATTTGTACCTGCTGCCCAAGCAAGAAATAACTTTAAATGGCACTTTCTTAAGGGATATTTTGGCATTGGTAATCTCCAGACTTTGTGGGATCTGTACAGAATTAAAACAAAGCAAAAGTTTTGAATATTTTGTCATCTTTTAAGTTGAACTTTATTTTTTTCCCTTTTGTTCAGAATTTCTTTTCAAATGCCATGACTTCAGATTAAATAAAAGGTAATCCAACCAGAGATGAGACCCAGGATGTCCAGTCTTTTACCCTGTGTGCCAAATTGTATACAGATAGCTAAAGTCTCAATTTTCTTTTTACAAGGTGTTTAGAGAACATTAAACTGTTGAAAAGTTCTTGAACATTTCAACAACTAGAACAAATTGAAGGACTGTTTAACCTGTTCTAGTACTTCAGAACTTGGATCTGGGAATGACTGCATACACTTTTTTTTTTTCCAAAGTTCAAAAATCAGTGAGATTTTGGAGTTGAAATCTGTAGTTAAAAGGGCAACGTTTTATTTTTGTACCATCAAATGCTGTGGTAACATGTTCCCTAAGGAAGGTTTTATCACCCTGTATGAGATCTTATGAGACAAAGTGCAAATAAGCTAACAGCGATATTGTATCCAGAGATCTGACTTGGTGAGAAACCTTTGAGTTTTCATCTTAGAATTTTCTGGATTTAAGAGTGACATTCAACCAAACTTAATTACGTTCCACCATCAAGATTGAAAATAAGTGGGATTTGCTCATTGAATAGTGCAAATACTCTGGCAGCCATATTTGATCTTTAGGTCAAGGTTGGTGAGAAACCTCTCACTTTCTGATTTGAAATTAAAACTTTTTGGAACCATTTTGTGGATTTTTACAACTTCAAACTTAATGCGTGTTACAAGAATGTCAAAGTTCTGTTGTGCAACTGAAAATTTCAACAAGGTTGTACTTGAAAAACTAGATATTTACTGAGGTGGTCCCTGATATGAAAGGATAACCCTCTATTAAAACCTAAGAAGATAAGCAAGCTATATTAAGTATATTCCATTCTTTTGTCTCATCCATTATGTTCTATCATTTAAGATTATGGATACCCGTATCATCTTATTGTACACCATGTTAGAAGGAAGATGGCAAGATTCTTCCCTTATGGCACGATGGGTTAATTAAAATACATTTTGTTTGAAGTTCAAAACACTGGGCTGCTAGATAGGCTGACTACCAACTTTTGCTTTCATCTTGTCTCATGCAACAGTCACTATTTACTGGTCCATGAACTAATTAGCATAATTGTCAACACCTGCTGTATTCAGGTGTTTACCAGACCATAACTAGGACTAAGGCTGTGTGCTCTGGTTTAAACATACTAACTGCAGGGGTCAGCTTACGTGGGACACTGCTGGGGCCATTTGCCTGTGTGCAGTGCTTTCTTTTTCCTTCCCTTCAATGGCGTGTAGAGAAAGTAGGGGAAATGAAATTTTAGCACATTTAGGACTTCTTGTGTTTCTAATGTCACTATGCAACTGTGCAAGACTGACGAGGCTTAAGGCATTGGATGAATCTAGAGGAACCTCAGTGCACACCAAAAAGCAACCTGAAAGAAGTCATCTGCATCATGGAAGACTCTTAATTGGACAGAGCTCCCTGAAAGATTCTAAACTCAATGGAACCAACTCCACACAGGCGGCGCTGGATGAAGCAGACTACCAGGCTGACATGAGTAGGTGTTGCAGAATTTAAAATGTATTTCACTTCTAAAAAATGCAATTACTGTAGTACACTTGTACTAGATTTTAATTAAATGATGCTTTATTTTAAAAGGCTGGCAGACCAGACAACAAATGGAAAAGAGTGACTGGCAAAAAATGGCAATGGAAAACCTGCTGAAAATGGAGTCAAAGGTTGAGTGCACGCAAGATTCTATGAAGCTTCTTGTTCACGATGCTGCCTCTACCCCTGCATCTCTCATCCTTGTGGACCGGGGTATGCTTATATATTTTTTAAACTCTTCTGCACAGCTGTTCCTAGTGTGAAATATAAGTGGAACAGATGGGAGCTATATTTCAAGAAGTCTCTGTCTTGTCCTTTTCAGGTCACTTGTCTCCTCTGTCTCTGGCAAAGTTGCCCTCAAGCTGTGGTTACACCATTAGGTCAACTCAGAAAGATCTGGTCTTGGTAGCACCCTATGATGGCTGCTTTGTCATTATTCAGGTGGGTTTCCTACTATGGATAGTCTACACATCTGACCCATCTGTGGTGTGCTCATCATGTAATCAAGCTCTGATTGCAGGAGAACTACTATGTGCTCCCGTTGCTCTGGTGGGGCCTACCAGTTAGAATGTCATGTCCTTTAATGGGACATGTGTCACAAAACCCTCCAATGGTCACTTGTCATGCTGAGGGCATGGTTGTGAAAACGGAATGGGTCACATCTGCTTCAAAAATCAAAGTAAATGGTAAGTATTTATGTTGACTGTGGTGTTCTCTAGGTGATAACTTGCAGATACATTGTTGTGCCGTCATCAGAAATTGGCTGCAAAGAGTGACTGGCAAAAAATGGCAAAGGAAAACCTGCTAAAAATGGAGTCAAAGGTTGATTCCATTTTTTGCCAGTCACTCTTTGCAGCCAATTTCTGATGACGGTACAACAATGTATCTGCATTGTTATAACTTTCATTAAGGTTTTTTTTTAATGAAAGTTAAAAAAAAGTTTTTGTTAAAATGAATGTTTCTAAAAATTTATTGGACTATTGCCAAGCAGTGAAAACTTGAGAACTTGGAATCTCTTCTGCAAATGCATACATTGAGCCTTAGGTTATGATTGCAGGTAAGCCCATTTAATTTTCAGCCTTAAACCAATGATATCATCTTACCACTTTTAAAATAATTTAAAAATTGGCTGCATACAATTAAAACGACTATTTTTAGTGAAACAATGATTTGGAGTAAATTTTCTCTGACACTGGGTGTTTTCAGTGTGGTATGGAAGGAACAAAACTCTTAAATTGGTGTGGACTATTAATTTAACTTGACTTTTTTTTCTCGTGTAGTAAATGGAAACTGGGAATCCCTATTGACAGCTGCACAACACTGTGTATTTGGTATAGTTGAACATCCAGACGGTGTTGTTATCTCTGTGCGCTATGCACCTTGCCTGGTAAACAAGGTAAATTTTAAAACGCAGATCATTCTTCTAAGGAGGTGGGGAATGAAATTTAGTAACGGTGACATTTGTTTGCAGGATGGAATGCACTCCCTTGAGCTGGCTGGAGATGTAGAAACCAAGGTTTCATGTCCATCATTGTTGGCAGCTCAAATCAAACGGACAGAGAGTCAAGTAAGAGGTTCTGTGCAGGAAAGTGACATGCCAGGCAAATGGGTGTATCCATTTCCCACACCATATCCATCTTTAACACTTCCTCGTGCTCAGGTAGCATCTCAAATTTCTAGATCTCAAAACCAGAAGATCCCAAGCAAACCAAATCGGGGTTCAAATCTGGGGCAGCGTTGGTACACTCATTTTCCAGATTTTCCTTATGCTTACCTTCAAAAGCCAGACCTCACTACTACTAAACAGCCACAGACCTC